CCGAGGAAGACTGGCCCTGGGCTAACATCTGTGCCCATCTTCCTCCACTTTATATGGGACGCTGCCTCAGCATGGCCTGACAAGTGGTGCATCGGTGCGTGCCCGGGATCCAAACCGGGCCACCAGCAGCGGAGCGCGTGCGCTTAACTGCTACACGGTGGGGCCAGCCCCAGTCCTCCTTTGGTCTTTAAATTGTGTTTAAGATCTAGTAAGTTGATGTGTAATCATAAATAATATCCTACTGTTTGGGGGGAAAAGGTAAAGAAATGGATGAAGATGGTATATTTGACTTTGGTTTTCATTCATTAGAGTCATGTAGGAGTCAGGAAATCATTCCTTGCTTTATGTTGAGCTTCTAGTCCATAGTACTGATGTTAGTCATTTAAGTCATCCAAAATAGGAAAATTTTAATTCCTCCTTTTGGAAAGTTATAGCATTTACTATTAAATATGCTAGCACTGGGGGACTTTTAAACTTAAATTCCTTTAGAGAAGAGTCAAATTAGTTCTCTGATGTGTGTTATTTATCTTATACGACCTAGACATGTTGGATTACGCAATGGTCCTTTCACATGATTGAGCCTATGTTGCAATGAGAAAGAAAGGGAAGAATTATACCAAACAATTATACCAAAATTGGGATAATTATGCATGAATTTCAAATGAGGAAAGTGATGAAAGTGTGAATGGGAAAAAAAACTCCATTCTTGGGAGAAATCATAATTGATAAAAGTACCTATTTTTGTTTCTCAGGGATGTTTCGAAAGGATGAAGAACTGACTCCATCACAGAGAGGTTTAGCTGTAAGGTATGTGCCCTTTAATTGTCTCCTGCCATGATACACACTGTCTCTGGCTGGAACACACATTACTCACATAGCTAAGGCTGACTTGTCCTCCCGGAGGTACTTACTTTATGAAAAACCAAAGCTTCCTCCCTCTTCACACCTCCCTGCCACCAAATCTTGCTAGTTAGGAATCCTTTCTAAGGCTCACATAGCACCTTGAATATATCATCATACAGTATGCACTTCCTGTGTACCATGAGGCTATCTGCTAAATTTTCTGTCTCTCCTGTGAAGCTCGAGTTCCGTGAAGACAGGAAGATAGTAGAGTCTTCATGTCTGCTGTGTAGTAATTACGAGTAATAATCACAGCTACCATTTATAGACCAGTAACTTATAATATGTTAAGTTATAGATATAACTAAGATATAAATGTTAATATAGTGCATAGATGCCATGTTTTGAAATAATGAGGAACCAGTAAGATAGTCTCAATTATTATTTGAGGTATTCATTCTGGGTATTAGGCTTCTACTTCATTTATTATAAGTACTCTATTGACTAATCTAAGGAATAGCTTAATTTCTTGGCAGGTTCTATTTTTAATCTAATGAAATTAGAGATCAAATATGAATTTTACTTAAAGAAAAACTTGCTATGAAGCACCCTTACTTCCTATAAATCTAGAATTAATAGATGCATGGCTGTCAGGAGAATGAGATTAAGTTTGTGATAGGAGGTAGACCCTACCCTAAGTGTTCACTTTTGACCCCATGTCTTGGGAATCTTCTTCTATTTTCCTCATCTTTAAAATTATTCTGTTTTGATCTCCTCTATAGTTAGTCTTCATATATCAAATAAATACTTGAATATACTTAGTTGATGAGAGGTTAATTTGATCTGGGTTCTTTGATCTTTATGAGTTCTTGGTCCGTCCCAATAACCGCTCATTAATACCCACTCAGCTTCTGTTTCCACCTTTCCCTGCCGCATAGCCACCTGGCAAAACCCCAAATTCCACTCTCTGTCTACCTGAACAGTGGAAGAAAACAGAGTGGAAAAACACTCAGTCTTGCTGATTGGACTCATTTTGAATGTGTTACCCCAAATTTAAAATATGGATCTTATTATTGCCGACAATTCTATTACATATCCTTAGTCCACTCACTTTCCCACTCTCTTGTAAGATTATAAATCATTTTCCTTTCTCCTCAAACTTCCAACACTTCCTCCTCCGTACTTACTTACGATGGTAGCAAAGTATTTTTGGAGAATATAAAGACAACTCGACTTAATTCTGCAACCACCAAATCTACCAAACTGCCTGTATCTGTAACCAATAGTCTCCTTTCTTTCCCAGTGACTAGTATTACTGTCCACAGTCCAGTCCAAGGCCGGCTTTTCACTTTGACACTGAATCCAATTGCTTCTTTTTTACTCAAAGATTTTGCTTCTTCAGTTATCCCATCTCGTGCGTCATCACTCATCAACGTCTCCCTCTCTGTTGGATCATTCCCATCATCTTAAAGGAAAAAAAAACCTTCCTTACCTCACATTCCCTTCTAGCTACCTCCCTGTTAACTCTGCACTCCTTTATAGTAAGACTTCTTAAAAGATGTGTCTGTTCTTACTGACTCCTCTTCCTCATCTCCTTTCTCTCCTCAACCCCTGCAGTCAGGTTTTCGTCTCCACTGCTGGTCTGATATCAATTCCGGGTTGCCCTTAATCTTGGCACATTTAATTTGTCAGCCTTGGTTTGCACGTTGCTCAACCTCTCAGCACCATTTGACCCAGTTGATCACTCAGTTCTTGAAATACCTTCTTCACTTGCCTTCTGGGACACTACATTCTTTTGATTTTCTTCTCTCTCACTGGCTGTTTCTCTCAGTCGTCTTTGCTGCATCCTCCCCCTCTGTCTTACCACTAAATATTCCTGTCCTCCAAGCCACAGCCCTTGGACTTCATCTTCTCCGGGTGATCACATGCAGTCCATTGGCCTTAAGTACCATCTACATATTTGAGGCCTCCTAAATTTATATTCTCACTCCAGCCTCTCTCCTGAGCTCCAGCCTCATATGTCCAACTGTCGTTTCAACATCTCAGCATGGGTAGTGAATAGGCGTCTCAAATAGAACTCCTGATATCTGTCTCCCTCTTCCCTCTCCCCATGCCCCTCTTTTCTTCCACTATTACTACCCACTTAGTTAATAGAAGTACCATTTGTCACTAGTGGCTTAGGGGAAAAACTTAGGCAAACTCCCTTTTTACTGTAAATCCACTTCACCGGCAAGTTAAGTCAACTCTTCCTTTGAAACCTCTCTCTAATCTGATGGCTTCTTACCATTCCCGCTCAGATCACTCCAGCCCAACCCTCGTTTTTGACTTGGTCTACCGTAATAGCTTTCCCGACTGGGCTCTGTTTTCTCTCTTGCCCTCTGCAGTCTACTTTCCACCCATCAGCCAGAGATCCTTTTAGTGTGTATTGGGTCATGTTATTCCCCTCCCTTGATGAAAACCCTCCAGTGGCTCCTTTGAGAATTAAGAATAAACTAATAGGGCCGGCTCCGTGGCTTAGCGGTTAAGGGCGTGCGCTCTGATGCTGGCGGCCCGGGTTCGGATCCCGGGCGCGCCCCAAGGCACCACTTCTCCGTCCAACGCGAGGCCGAGTCCCACGTGCAGCAACTAGAAGGATGTGAACCTACGACATACAACTGTCTACTGGGGCTTTGGGGGGAAAAAATGAATAAAAAAAATCTTTAAAAAAAAAAAAAAAGAATAAACTAATAAACTTCTGACCATTGCATGTAAGGCCCGACCAGAGCCCAGAGTTCTGCCACTCTCCCTCGCTCAGTCCCCCCATAACTACACAGAGCTCTTTGTCAGAAACACCCCTCCCTTCGCTGCCATCACTCTAGCCCTTGGCCTGATTTATTTTTCTCCAGAATACGTATTACTGTTTGATGTTATATCATATACTTACTTTGATTGTCCCTCGCCCTACCTCCCAAATGTAAGCTCTGTGAAGACAGAACTTTGTTTTGCTTATCATTATATCCTCATCACCTCGACAGCAGTTCAGCCCCAGGGGTGATTGTGTCCCCCAGGAGACATTTGACAATGTCTGGAGACATTTTTGGTTGTCATAGTGGAAAGGGGTGGTGCTACTGACATCTAATGGGTAGAGGCCAGGGCTGCTGCTCAACATCCTACAGTACACAGGACAGTCCCCTACAACAAAGAATTATTGCCAAGAAGTGTCAGTAACACTGAGATTGAGAAGCCCTGACCTAGGACAATGCATAGTTGATATCAAATAAATATTTATGTAATGAAAGAATGACTCTTTCATTTAATGTCATAAATGAAGTATTACAATTAAACTTATTTCTCATTTTAGTAGCAAACATTATAGTTATCTACTTCAGTACCTAAAATGACTTGTCGTTTGATATGACAGTTGAGCCAGAAATTCCTTCAATAAATTTCGTGGTTAAGAAATTATCTCCTGTCCTTGCTAAGTGATACATAGTTTGACTTGGCCAGATTGAGCCATGCCTTGATACCCTGGTGTTGTTTTGGTCTTGAAATAATTGGTGTTGAAAATGGAGCTCTGTGGCTGCAGCACAAGAAGTTATTTTGTAACTTTGTGATTGCAGGGTGCTTGCCCTGGTGTTTGGGGTGGTGAGAAAGCGATCTGTTCCAGCATCAAATGGAAAGAACTACAAGAGCAAATCTGTCAGAAATATTTTGCTCTCATCAATCTTGAGCCCTCAAGAGAAAATACTTAAGGTTCAAAACACTTTTAAATGTAGAATAATAATTATGGAAAAATTTTAAAAGGCGTTTTGGCTAAGTGGTGACCTAGCTAGTGTCAGATGGACCAGAAGCACTGTTTTCTCTATTGATTGTTTTTTATAAAAATATATATGAGCAGGTTCTGTCAACTTTCCTTGGCCACAGAGAGTGGTTGTGCTTTTTAAGGAGACAACTTCTCTTACTAGAGAGGAAGAAGGGGTTATAACGTGTTTGAGAAGGCTGCTTCCTGTCCCAGGTGTAGTTCTTTTATTTATGATAGTTTATATTTGTCAATAGATGGCAGACTTGATAAATGGAGCTGGTTTTAAAAAGTAAATAAAAACGTATACTCCTAATTCATTTATATGATAATGTATACAGTCTAAATAGTCTTCTATGTTACTAACCATTTTTCACCTGATTACGTGCATCGAGAACTAGAATGCTTGGTAAACTTTAGATACCATGTGCCATTTGAACAGACCTCAAAGCAATTGAATTAAAAAATGTTCTAAGACATCATTGATTCATCTCTCTCTCACCCCCCATAAACAGTCTATCAGCAAACCCCTGTTCTGCCAGAATGTATGCCGATGCTGCCTACCCCACTGCTCCCAGCAGTCACCTCCTGCCCAGTAGCCTCCTGACTGGTCTTCCTACTTCCACCCTCCCCTTTCCACATACAGGGGCTAGAGGGATTCTTTTGAAACATAGGTGTTTAGAAACCCTACTGTAGGTTTTCATTACATTCAGAATAAAATCCCAAATTCCTATCATGGCTTGTAAGGCAGGTCCTGTATAATCCCACCTTGGCTCTCTCTAACTCTCCTCCTTCCTCTTTTCCCTGTTCAGGCTACTCCAGGCACCCCGTCCTCCCTCCTGCCGGACGTGCCCCATCTCAGGGATTTTGCAGTCATTGTTCCCTCTGCCTGGAATCCTTGTCCTGGATATGCAGACGACTCCATCTCTCACTTTCTTCTGGTCTCTGCTCAATTGTTGCCTTACCAGAAAGGCCTTCTCTGACTTATTAATATAATAAAATACCCCCTGCTCTTGGTAGTGCATAGCAACTCTGAAAATATTTTATATATATATATTTTTTATGTGTTTTCTGCAACTGTTATGTGAGCTCTGAGAATGCAGGATTTTTCTCTGTTTTGTTTATTGCAGTATCTCTAGACCCTGGAGCATGCCAGGCACATAGGTGGCACACACATAGATTTATTAAATGGGGGAATGATTGACTAGTAAGAGATGATTCTTTACGCCATATCATATCTCATCTGTCTTAGGTTTTGTCATGAGGAATTAAGTAGAAACCCTTCGTAGTTGTTCATAAAGATCTGTATAGAAACTCTTCTATCCAAAAATACTGCTGAGCATTAATACATCCTGATCTTTTAAATTCTTATTGTATAGGTGCAAGTGAAAATTAAAGCTTATTTTACTTTGGAAGTGGTAAGAGCAGTGAGGTAGAGGATGATTATTCCTATTAAGTTTTCTGAAAGCTTATGTAACGTCTCACAAGTTGCTTGTCTTTTAATTGCAGGCGCATGCCAAGCCTACTGGAGTATTTAAGTTACAACTGTAACTTCATGGGTATCCTGGCAGGCCCACTCTGCTCTTACAAAGACTACATTACTTTCATTGAAGGCAGATCATACCATATGACAAAATCAGGAGAAAATGGAAGAGAAGAAATACAGTATGAAAGAACAGAGCCGTCTCCAAATGTAAGATCATGAGATTCATCTGGTGCCGTTATAACATGTATTGATTAGTCCTGTTGATTTAAAGATACTAATGTTTTCAAGTTTTGAGTTTACCCATCTATTTCTTTAAAAATATTTTTCAAGATAAATGAGTCTTCACACTGCCCCTGGTAGTGATGCCTAGTAGAAGTACAGTCATGGTTAAAGAGTAAAAATAAGGTTAAACTGTGCTGAGTTCCTTAGTGAGAACAATGCTTTATCATTAGAGAGTATTTTACAGGCAAGTCATTCTCGTGAAACTGACCCAGCCTAATTTTCCAGGCTTTTTCCTTTTCTGTACCTTATGTTCCAGCAATTTCAGAGCGTTCTCTTTTCCTGTCCCGCTTTCCCCGTCCTCTTCCTCTTCATTGCCACTTGAAATCTTACTCTTCTTTAAAGGCCTACTTCAGATATCACCTTTCCACAAAACCTTTATGATTCTCACAATAAGAAAGATAATAAGGGCTGACACTTTGATAGCACCTCCCATGTGCCAGGCACTGTCGCAGGCACTTCACACGTTCCTCTTCAGCCCTCACGGCAGTCTGAGGAGGCGGGGCGGTTCTCACCATTTAACACATGGGGACACTAAGGATGAGTAATTTGACCAAGATTCCCAGGTTGACAGTAGGAGAACTAGAATTCAGACTCAGGCAGTCTGGCTCCGAAGTCTGGGCTGCATTGCCTCACAACCGAACATAATCTTCACTCCCCTTGAACTACGGGGACGCCTGGAACTGCTGAGATGCTGCTTTATCAAGAAAGGCTACGAGGCTTTGTGTAGGCAGCTGAGTTTCTGCTGGATTTGATCTGGTAGAATCTAAAAGTCCCATGAGAAGTAAGCCAATCAAAAAATCTGCGAGACAAAAAAGGGAGCTGGCATGTTTTCTCAGAATGTGGGGCTTGGAGCAAAGGATCACCCTCCTTTCTAAGTTATTGTAAAACAAAGAGGGAATGAGGAAATGTGCACTCATTTGCAAAAGCTCTTATATTCTCTCTTTTCTGCCGTGTGACTCATTGTGTTTTATACCAGAAAGGTGCTTTGTCTTCATCCTCTCTATTACTGGTTAAGTGTTAATTGATAAGTGGCGTATCAAACTGGGTTGAATTTCAGACTTGAAATTGGGTATATTCAGATCTCTTTCATTGACTGTTTGGTGTCTCCAGGCTGACTACTTAACCCTTTAGAGGTCTCACTGCCATAAGAGAAAGAAAAGATGATTATAGACAGCTTCAGTATTCCAGAAGTTGATTCTGGAATACTGGAAAGAGAATGAAAACCTAGGAATCAAGATACTGGACATAATTTTGTAAAATATTTGAAAAATATCAAGTGCTACAAACGTGTGAATAGTAGTAAATAAAACCCAACAAAGAATAATACAAATTTGTATATTACTTCTGTCACTTCACTATGAATTTTTATGGGATTCACTCTAATAAAACGTCACTTTCCTCTTTTGGGTTATAGACATCATAAATCAGAGGTTGTTGACAATGGAAAATATTTTTAATATGTTATCTCACTATTTTAATATCTTTTTAAATTAAATTCCGTATGTATATAGTTCACACAGTCAAATAGTAGCAGTTGTTTACAAATCACTCAAAGGTCTTTGGAAGCTTTTTGTGCATCAGTGGGGTGTGTAGACACTTAAGATCCAAAGTAGAACAGTCAAGTAGCCAGTGCTGGAAAAAGGACCAAAATAACAGGGGCTTAAATAAGGTGGAAGTTTATTTTTCTCTCACGTGCCGGCTCAAGTGTAAGGGGTCCATAGATAGTAGGGCGGCTCCATGGGTTGAGGATCCAAGCTCTCCCCTGTTTTTGCCATCCTGAGGGTGTTGCCCTCATCCACATGGTCTGAGACGGCTCACCAGGGAAGTTGTATATGTTACTTGTGCTGACATCCCATGGACCATGTAGCTGCACTCAGCTGCCACGGATGCTGTCGTGTGTGGTCTTTAGCTAGACTTCTGTGTGCCCAAATAAAAACTTCCCTTGCTGTGCAAGAAGCGGAGGATGGCTCCTGGGTCAGTCTCTGCCATGATGTCTGTAGGTCTTTTCTGGGGACTGTTTGATTTCTTGAGTGAAGGATCCTCCAGTCTTCTGCCCAGAGTATACAAACTTGATTGCTGGTCTCTGGAGCTGTGCAGGGCAAGGGAGCTAAGGATTTCTCCTCTCAGAATGCAGACTTTCTCCATAGTCTCCACATTTTCATTCCAGCGCTTAACCCAGCCCCTCTCTGGACCCATGTCCCTAAGCCTGGCTCTTCTCTGGTTAGACTTCTCTGAGAATTAACTTCTGGCCTCCTGCTAGAATTGTGGAGGGGTGTCACCTTACTAAGCAGGGAGGCTCTGGGAACTAGGGGATTACACCTGGCTTCCCAGTTTTAGGCCCCTCACTCCCGCCTTCCAAGGTACTTGATCCCTGCATTCTCGGAGCCTTTTTGGGGCTTCTGATTGGTGTTTGCGCCACCTGGTAGTTGAGATCAGGTGCATATTACTTTAATTTTTTTTTTTAATTGAGATCTGGAAACTTGTATATGTGGTGTAAGGGCCACAGTATTTCTCATTATGTTGCTAAGATGATACACCCAACTTTTAGGTTAATGCAAGAGGCCATTCATTTCATCTCACTTCATTTATAATTACAATTTTTCCTCTAATTGCCTGTTTTAAAATCTCTTTCTATTCAAATGTATAGATTAGATATTTTGAGGAGGGGTGAAGAAAGAGTGGAGAAAACTTTGAAAGACAACCAGGAAAATGAGACTAAGAACAGCTGCAGCATGGAGTCCTTGAGCATTCAGCACCTCCTAGCAAGAGCAGCCTGAGAATACAAGACAGATTTTCACAAGTGCAGTGAATCTGGCGTGTGCTTTCACGCCTGCCTTTGAGCCGCTCTTTTCACACTGTTAGAGAAAGCGTTCAGAGTGGATGTTCATCTGCATATTACTTCAGTTAATTTGAATATCATTTGATTATTGTACAAGACACTCTAAATCTAAGTATTTTGTTACATTCCTTTATCTGGATCCAACCTTTCCTTTCTTCTACTTGTTTCTTTCCCTTTGTATCCTGTATAATCTCCTTTATATTGAATCAGATTGAAATATTCTGCCCTACTAAAAATACAAGAACATCATGAGTTGGATTCTTTCAGGGTAATTTCACCTTACCAGAATATAGTAAAGAATGGCCTTTTCTTTCCATCATTCTTTTATGCAAATCTTTTAGTTTTCTCAAGTGGGTAGCTCTTTTGGTTTTATCATTCTCGAACAAAATTGCGTTAAATAACTTTCAGATTTAAAGAAATTTAAGTTGTGTGTTGTAAAAATAACGTCCACGAAGTACCTAGAATTTGGAAAATATAGAAAAGACACAATGGAAAAAATAAGCTCTGTGTGGATATATGTGTGTGTTTAATCACATAAAATTCACTACCAAAAGTTATTAATATTAACATTTTTGTGTAGTCACACCTTTACACGTGTGTTTGCTTTTAGATGTTTTTTATTTACTGAAATATTTTTTTATTTACTGAAATATTATTTATTTTCTGAAAACACATATTGAGGTTTCTAGTGTGATTTGAGCCATAATCCAGAGATAGTAATAGAGATAAGGCTGGAAATGTTCATACTGTGAGACCGTGGAGGGCTTTAAATGCTGAGCACAACATAGTTTATGATTTTTGACAGGAGAGTTACCGAGTTAATGCTACATTCAGGAACATTAATCTGGCAGTAATATGTAAAATGAATTACAAGTAGTATCGATTAAGTTTAAGAGGTTTGTCTTATACTTTCAGATCGCAGTCATTCAGAAGCTCTTAGTCTGTGGACTTTCCTTATTATTTCACTTGACCATCTCTAACGCATTATCTGTGGAGAATAACATCGATGAGCATTTTCAAGCTACAGCTTCATGGCCGACAAAGGTTGTCTATCTGTATGTCTCTCTTTTGGCTGCCAGACCCAAATACTATTTTGCATGGACATTGGGTAAGTAACACATGAATGGACTTTTCTGTTACTGTGTTGAGGTGTATCTTACCCTACAGATAGCCAGGAGAGTCCCTCTTGAGGATGTGAAGTTAAAGACCCATTAGAAAAGTTAGGGTCGGGCCGGCCCCGTGGCTTAGTGGTTAAGTGAGCGCGCTCCACTGCTGGCGACCCGGGTTCGGATCCCGGGCTTGCACCGATGCACTGCTCCTCCGGCCATGCTGAGGCCGTGTCCCACATACAGCAACTAGAAGGATGTGCAGCTATGACACACAACTATCTACTGGGGCTTTGGGGGAAAAAATAAATTAAAAAAAAAAAAAAAAAAAAAAAAAGAAAAGTTAGGGTCATATTTGTAGAAGAAACAAATGTACAGCTCATATCCAAGATATATCCTAAAAACTGTTAGGCTATCCTAGAAACTGGATCAAGGTCCATTTTATTATAATATCAGATAAAAATGAGAATAAATCTACTTTTACTGTTTAAGGATAAAAAATCATAGAGTATAAGATACACTGTCTGGGAGAACACGATAGATTGTTACCTAGGTTCTTAATACTGTTTTTTTCATTTTGTTTACTACAGCTGATGCTATTAATAATGCTGCAGGCTTTGGTTTCAGAGGATATGACAAAAATGGAGCAGCTCGTTGGGACTTAATTTCCAATTTGAGAATTCAGCAAATAGAGGTTAGTGAATCATCGAGAAGTTAGTTACCATAAGATACTTTAGGTGCCATAATTTGCTTTCATAGGTTATGATGTGGTGTTCCAAGAGTGGTATTGAAGGATTTTTAATAATACTCATTCTTCCATTCAAACAATATTTATTGGTCATCAACCATGTGCTTCAGGCACTGGGAATCCAGTGAATAAGATTGCTGTGATCTGGGCCCTCATAGGGCTTTAATCTGGGGGCGGGGGGACGTTACAGGGATAGAAAAAGATAGGTTATGATTAGAGAGGTGGGATATGTGCATGTTTATAAATAGGAATCTAGCTGAGGTGAGATGGCTCAGGGAAAGGGCCCTGCAGGAAATAATGTCTTAAGCTGAGTCCTAAACGATAAGTAGGAGGTAGCCAGGCACTCCAGGTAGAGGGGAGCAGCCTGAGAAAGTGGGAAGCGGTATGTGGCTCATGTTGGTTCACATTGTAGGGAATGGTGTCAGATGAGGCTGAAGAAATAGAGGCCAGGTCAAGCACAGTCTTAGAGGCCATATTAAGAGTTTTGAATTCTCCTATAAGAGCAAGGGAGCATTGTGGATGGGTTATATGCAGGCAAGTGAGATGATCATATACGTGTTTTAGAAGAATCTGGCTACATCAAGTAGAATGTGTTGCCCTTATGAGCCACAGTGGTCTCTTAGGAGGGTATTGTGTTAATCCAAGATGATGGTGACCGAAACCAGGGTAGTGACAGTGGGGCTGGAAAGACAAACACATTGAAGAGCTGTTTAAGAGACTCAGCAGAACTTGGTGATACGTGGGAATCAGCAAGAGAGAATGAGTTATGATTCACGCCCAGCTGTCTGGTTTAAATGACTGGGCTTGTGGATCCCTTTCCCTGAGATAAGGAACAAAGAAGAGGCCCAGGTTTGAAGGGAAAGATAATGTGTTCACATTTCCGACTTCACTGTGTTGTCCAGCAGGCCAGTGAATGATCGGACACTAGCTGAAGCATCTGAGCTTGAGACCATAATTTGGGAACTATCAGCATGTAGCATTTCAAGTTTTGGGAGAAACCACAAGAGTAGCCGTGAGAGAGCCTGAGAGAATGAAAAGAGAGGAGAGCCCCTGAAGGAGTACTCATACGTTCAGATTGGGCAAAGGGAGGCAGTGCAGAAGGAGTAGCCAGAGTGAAAAGAGGAGAACCAAGAGCAGACCTTGCTTTGCAAGCCTCCAAAAAGGATTATTCCAAATAGGAGAAATTACCAAAACTTTGGGTGAAAGGTTAACAGGGAACTTGATAATGGATGCATCAGGCAGGACCCACTACTGCACCTCAGCATCACCGACATGGGACAGCCAGGCATTAAGTGCCTGTGGTTGTGGTACCCTCAGAAATACCGCACCACCTCTCAGGTAGTTTGCCAAGATACTTAAACCTGACCAGGTCTCTAGATCTTTCTAAATTTAGAGGGAATCTGGAGATAGAGAAGTAAGTTAAACACCAGATCCAGCAGTGGGAAATTCTTTAGGACAAATGACCCAATTTTTCCCAACAAATAAATGGTATGGGAGAAGTGGGGCCAGAGAGGGGCTATTACAGATTAAAAGAGACTTCAGCCAAATGCCCTGTATGAACCTTGTATGGATCCCAGTTGAACAGGCCAACTGGAAAAACATGTTTCTAAACAATCAGGGATATTTGAATACAAAATGCATATTAGATGATGTTAAGAAATTAATGTTAATTTTGTTAGGTCTGATCATGGTTTTTAAGAGTCCTTATTTATTGGACATAAATTCTGAACTATTTACAGGTGAAATAAGATGTCTGGTATTTGCTTTGAAATATTCTTAAGGACGTCAGTCATAAAAATGGAGAAAGGGAGGGAGAATTCGATAATTGTGGACATTGGATGATGAGTATGTGGCAGTGTTACTAAACTTTTGTTCATTATTACTACCCTGTGGGGCCTTTTGAGACTTTTTTTTCCTAATCCGCCCCCCCCCCAAGAAATTTTAACACCTCAGTAGACAATATACTATGTATCTCTTTCTGTACTGTACATATATATGTGCTTTATACATAAAAAGAGTAAGATTTCTTTTGCCCCATAAGAACCAGTTTTCATCCTTGGATTTTGACAAGAGTAGTAAATAATGGACCACAGAATCGAAAATGGTAAGAAGGAGGAGAAGACCTGAGGAGGAGATAGTTACATAGGGAAGAATAGAGGCCAGGAGTTCAGAGGTTCCCTCTGAGGTTGGAGGGTAGCGTTAGTGGGAGAAGCTTGAGTGAGGAGGCTCGAAAGGTAGGAAGACAGTGTACAGATCCACTCTTTCAGGGTAGCAGTTCCAGGTGGGGCGGAGATCCCAAGTTGCTAGGGAAGGCCAGCTGAAGAGGCATGGAGGTGAGGGAACTGGGAGACTGCAGCTTGATGGGGCGTCCAGTCCCCAGTGAAAGGGGCCTTGAAAGGCCGTCTTCATACTCTCTCAGGAACTTCTTTTGGATAACTCCATGACAACCTCTGTAGATATTAATGTATAGGAGAAAATGGTGATAATTCATTTACCTTGTAGATGTTCCCTACAATAAACAAACTCCTTTTATGAATGATGTTGCTGTATTAGAAAAAAAGGTAAGAAATCAGTACACTACCATCATTGTCAAGTAACTTATTTTTAGCACAATAAAAAATTATTACTTACTTAAAGCTTCATTATTTTGTTGGCCAAAGAAAAAGGTTCCTTTGTTTTTCAGATGTCAACAAGTTTCAAGATGTTTCTTGATAATTGGAATATTCAGACAGCTCTTTGGCTCAAAAGGTATGTTTCTTCAAGAGCAATCTTTAGCTGTACTTTGGCATCTAGTACTTAAGGCTGAGCTTCACTGAGTTCAGATTTTTGATTAAATTAACAGTGTGTTGAGGGACATTGTGACCTTGGTGTTAACCAGGAAACACTGTTAACATCCTCCAAAGCAAGGTACTATCAAATCGGAGAACTGTTTTGGCTTGTCATGAGCGTGGCTGTCACTGACCTCTCAGCCCATCTTTAAAGGCCTCTACCAAGGTCTGAGATCGGCAGTGTCCTCCTACTCTCATTCTTTGGAGATTTGGTTAAACAGAGTAGCTATACAACCTGTGTACATATGCCCTAGATTTTCCAGAAGAGTTCCAGTTTTAGAATATTTCAGTTCAACAGATCTATGTATGTTAGGTGCAGCATACAAAGATGAATAAGACAAAACGCCCCAGCCTCTGCAGTCACACCGTTCACAATCACAGCAGTGTAATCTACATGTGCTGTCCCCTGTAGGGAGGGTGATGAGAGAGAGCGAGCAGGAGCGGTGAGGGCTCAGAGGGAAGAGAGGTGCTTGCACTGAGGTTTATGGTTAGGAGTTTGTCAGATGGACATGAGGAAGGTAAAGCAGCCCAGGCGGAGGAACACTGACAAAAGACGAAGTTAGGAAATTGCACAGAAAATCCCAGGAATTCTGTCTCATTGTTCCCAGTGAGACACACTGCCCTATCTTGAGTTTATCTCATAAAATATTGCCCCTGTAGGGCCGGCCCCGTGGCTTAGCGGTTAAGTGCGCGCGCTCCGCTGCTGGCGGCCCGGGTTCGGATCCGGGCGCGCACCGACGCACCGCTTCTCCGGCCATGCTGAGGCCGTGTCCCACATACAGCAACTAGAAGGATGTGCAGCTATGACATACAGCTATCTACTGGGGCTTTGGGGGGAAAAAAATAAATAAATAAAATCTTTAAAAAAAAAAAAAAAATTGCCCCTGTAATGGTAGGGCTCTAAGCACCTTCTGTGTAAAGCAGCCTTCTTTTCTAGTGTCCTTTATTTTATGACAAGTTGAATATCTTTATCCCTTGAGATATCCAGAATATATTATCATTGCTTCCTGGTGCCTTACAGTCTCCCCAATGGCTGCAGATTTTCTGAGCTAATCTGTTGTGTTATTTTTTTTGTTGTTATATTTTAAATTTGATACCTTAGGAAAATCTTACTTATATCTGAGTTCTCTACCCTGTTACAGGAAAACTTTAGACTAAGCCCAGCCTACTTGCCAGAAAGAATAGTGTTGTTAGATCAGTTAAAAGTTCTTAATGTTGTTAAAAAAAATGGTAAAATAATATAAAATAAAAATAACTTAAAGTTTATTTTTGTAAATAGTATAGATTCCCAAACACTAGAAATGATCATTTTAGCTATTACATATACCAGTAAGAAGATAGAAATTAAATTTGTTTTCCTAAATTTGATACTTAATAGCTATAACCTCCCTAAAGTCACAGATAAACTTATTGCCTAAGATAAGTTGTGGTGGTTTTCCTGGTTATCCTAAATCCTGTCAGGTAATAAAAGAATGACCATTGTGGGCTTTATAAACTCTAATCCCTCATTCCTCTTGGCTCTCTGTGTTTTTCGTGGTTTCTAGGGTGTGTTATGAACGAGTCTCCTGGAGTCCAACTATCCAGACATTCATTCTCTCTGCCATTTGGCATGGGGTATACCCAGGATATTATCTGACATTCCTAACAGGAGTGCTGATGACTTTAGCAGCGCGAGCTGTAAGTATCACGAATTTCGTTTTATACCTCAGTTGTAGTCCACTTGAACTGATAGAAAAGGCGGGTAAACCTTTTACTAGTTTGGCCTTATTTCCTTGGCCATTGTCAGCGCTCCACTCTGGCTGGAAGTGAGGTGTGTGCCTGGCGTGTTTGTTGAGTGCTCCTGGGGGCTCCATACTTGGTTCATCTGTGGAGAAGACCTGATACACAGGAGGCACCCACAAAGTGTTCATTGTCTTTACAGAATTTTCTGAAGGAGAGCTAAAAACTGAGTTAAATAAAGATGATCAGACGGGTAGGTTTATTTTAGAAATGTTTGCTGAAGGCTGTAACCTTTGAGTCCTCTTTTAGATGAAGAGTGAACTATGGATAGGCCTAGATAAAGGGGATGGGTAGACACCACATTGGAAGCAGGGTGCAATTCTTTAGAGTATCTGCTGGGTTGGGACCTGGAGTAATATTTTGGGAAACAGTTGCGAAAGTAGATCGGTGACATGAGTGGTCAAAGAAGAAGGACAATTTAGTTTAGTGTTAAGTCCTCGAAAGTCAATCAGAGGAAAGTGACGTGACAGCAATGGTGTTTGAGCAAGCTTATTATGGCACAGGTGAGAGGGCTTCGTTTAACAAACTGGCAGATATTTACTGTATTCAGTTTTAAGGTACCTTGGGGGCGTATGAGGGAAATATCAAGAAGTATTAACTAAGGGCTATCCCTTCTGCTAGTTTAGTCTAATTAGCGGCGTAAGGTGTATGTATGTGTATGTGTATGTGTAGACGTACACCACAAGGCATATATGATAGGTTCCATGGGTTTTATAGATAGTAAGTACCATAGGTGTTGAGAGATGAAAGAAATCCCTTTTGGTTGGGTTGACTGGCGGTAGCCTCATTAGGAAACTGTGGTTGGATTTGGGCTTTGAAAGATGAAAGTTATTTCAATAATGAGTAAAGTGTAATGGGGGGACAAAATGATATTCTAGGTGTGGAAGTGACATTAGCAAAATCAGGTTTGAAAGTGCCTGGTGTATTTGGAAATAACAAGTAAATTTAGTTGAAGCAGAGACTTCATGTATGCATAAATAGTGAGTAATTCTGGAAAGGCAAGTGATGGGGTGGAGGGAAGTGGAGCAATAATAGAAGAACGTGAACACCAGACTGGGAAAGAGACTCAGCGTCATTCTGTCTGTGTACCAGGGAGTCAGGTTAGGTTTTGAAGTATGGTGATGGAATGCTGAAAACCATGCCTCAGGGAAACTGATTTGCCGTTGGGGGACAGAATGGAATAGAGAGTGGGTAGCTCCTGCGGTGAGCTAGGCCAGAAGTGGTAGGAGCTGGGATTCAGTTCTGGTCACTGAGTGACGGTCTCTGTAGGGAAGAGCCGTTAACCACACACCTCATCATCTCTGAAAAATTTGTGTGGCATCCTCATGGCAGGGCAATGTTTTACCTATAAACATATTAAACAAGAAAAGTGGGGAACACAATAGAAAAAAGAAAATAATATTTGGTTAAGTTTGCATGTTTCAAAACTGAAATGTTTTGACTTTCTTGGAAGCTAAAAAAAATATTAAAATAGTGATTATTAGAAAACACCTTTTTTTGAGAAGCTCTTCCCAGCTTTCATTAACGATGAATAATGTGTGCAGTTGCCATTTATTGAATAAGTGCTGTTTGACCTGAGCTCAGTGTGTAACATCCATTTGTCTTTCATAAATGCAGACGTTAAAGAACAAGGAAGGATGCCTCACTTCATAATAGTTGAAAAAAATTGATAGTAGATTGAACTTTATATATATTACTATAGTTTACCAATTATGATTTAAGGATCTCCAGGCTGTGTTATTTTTAACTTTTTTTGGAAACTTTTAATTTTAATGCAACTTCAAATCTACAGAAAAGTTGGAAAGAACTCCTATATGCCCTTGACCCAGATCCACACATTTTGCCCATGTGCTTCATCACACTCTCTCTGTATTTCTCATACATACATGTGTTAGTTTTTTCTGAACCAATTTTCCCCATAGTGGCAGACTCCCACCAGCAGTGTGTGAGTTTCAGTTATTCTACATCCTTGAAACAGGTGATGTAGTCAGTGTAATTTTTAAGAAATAATGTAGAGCAAATATTTTTGTTTCTTTATTTCAGATGAGAAGTAACTTCAGACATTATTTCATCGAACCTCCCCAACTTAAATTATTCTATGATGTTTTAACATGGATAGTAACTCAAATAGCAATAAGTTACACAGTTGTGCCATTTGTACTTCTTTCTATAAAACCATCATTCATGTTTTACAGGTAAGTGTTACCCTTAAAAAAATGCCAGTGGGAATAACTTTATTTTTAAAAGAAAGCTCCTTGCTATTGGGTAGAACAGAAAAATAGTACCATAACCTTATTTCTTGCAGTTAAGTGGATCTTCAGTTACTTTTTAATCTTAGACCAAGCAGTCTCAAGTTTTTTTATGGAATAATTCACACCACTCAGCCCTCAGAAGAGAGTGTGATTTAGAGAAATATCAGCTGGGTAACCACTGCCTCAGATTGCTCAAAGATTTAACTAGAAAATGTAGCTGTTCTTTCTACACTTGGATGTTAACTAAACTTATTGTGGTGATTATTTCACAATATATACATATACTGAGTCATTATGTTACCTGAAACTAATATAATGTCATATGTCAATTACATCTCAATTAGAAAAGAGAGACATCAGGTTAGATTTGGTCTGCAGGCCATAGTTTGCTCACTGCTGCTCTAGAGTCAAGGTGTAGGAGGTTATGTGTTAAAGCAGAGGCTTAAGAGTCACTGGGGATATTTTGGGACCGGAAGTAAAATGTATCTTCTGATAATCGAGTGACTATTGGTAAAGTCCATAGACCAAGAGTTCAGGCTATCAGCCTGCTAACTCCAAAAAGGAACAGGGAACTTGAAATAAGATGGACAATAAAGAACACGATGAAGCAGTTTTAAAAAAAGAAAGTGTATCTTGTTCTTTAGAAGGAATTATTAATTCTCTTAATTTCTTTAATCAAAAGAAATAAATTACTTATATTTCATTTATGGGCTCCCTCTTCACTCTTGCATGTTTTATTGGTACTTTGTCATCTCTATGTTATAGAAATTATTGTCTTGAATTCATGTTTTGTTTATCTGTTTATCTCCTCTCCCTCCCCACCAAATTCCACTCCTCCCATATTAGAGGAGTGATATCTTGGAGATCAGAAACTTTATTCTTTCATAAATTCTTCGTTACCCTAGCATTTAGAATGACAGCACAGGTATGTGATCAAAAAATTGTTGAGTTGAATATGATGATAATCATACAGGAAGACATTAAGTAACTCCTGCTAAAATTTCCATTTTAACAAAATTATTACATATTTTTAAATGTGACTGAGTTGTTGGTTGGGTTTTCTGTCCCAGGAACTTTTGTCACAGTCACTTGAACTTACAGCTATAGAAGCTGTTTAGGTCACATTTGGTTTATATTTAATTTGGGGAATGTTACTTCTAATAATATTTTTAGTAATGCGACCTTTCTTTATTTCATGACAGTAGCCATCAAGAAGCAATATTGCGTATCTATTACTCATGTCATTGGAATATTTGTGAATAGCAGGGGAGGCTGGGGTAGAGAAAGTCTTTACTATCACTGTGTTCTCTTTGTTTGCTCAATATTTGATTCTGTGGATTTGAGAGATTATTTTCAGATCGCTGCAGCTACTAATAAGTACCTTTTTGTTCTGTTTAGCCATGGCCTTATGACCCTTCCAGAGGAATGTAATATGATATGTAGTATCATGCTCAGAAGCAGGCCGGGTTATACAGCGCTTTATAAATACCCACTGGCATGCGCTGTAGAGTTCCGTCTCATGAGGGAGGAGGAATAGGAGAATCATGTAGTAATGTGCTCATCCCAAGGGGGCATGTGACATTTTGACAAGTGTGCAGTTATTAAGAATGGTTATCAAAAATTTAATCAAGTAAATTTTTTCCTTTTTCTTTTAGCTCCTGGTATTACTGCCTTCACATTGTTGGTATCTTAGTATTATTGTTGTTGCCAGTGAAAAAAACTCAAAGAAGAAAGAATACGCATGAAGATGTTTGGCTGTCACGATCCAAAAAGTTTGATGAAGGAGAAAATTCTTTGGGACAGAATAGTTTTTCCACAACAAACAATGTTTGCAATCAGAATCAAGAAATAGCCTCCAGACATTCATCATGAAAACAACAATGCGGAAACACTTTGATGGCTATTTTTTGTATGTTAACAGAAACCAATCTTAGCACCTTTTCAAGGGGTTTGTGTTTGTTTGAAAAGAGATTTATTTGGGGAAACGGACAGTTGTAGATAGGGAATTTCCTGTATACAGAGGGGAAATGGAGTGAAAGAACCCCTCCCATGCCATGTCCCTGTGGGCCACGCCTTATATAAAGTATTTCCATTATTTCAGTGGGCACTCAGGACCTCAGCATATGTCCATAGGATCATATGTGTGCCCTGTTGCTGAATGTATGTTGCATATCCCAAGGCGCTGAAGAGGTGGAAAAATAGTTGTCAGTCTGGGTGATTGAGAGAAATTAATTTTTCCAAATGAGTGTCTTGCCTTAAACCCTCTATTTCCTAAAATATTGTTCCTAAATGGTATTTTCAAGTATAATATTGTGAGAACACTATTTCAGTATTTGATATTGTGTGCTATAAAGGAATTCTGGAGGAATTTGAAACAGGATATTTAAGATTGTGGATAGTTTAAAAATGCAATAAACATCTCAGTATTGGAAGGGTTTTCTTAAAGTATGTCAAATGACTACAGTACGTAGTGAAACTGTAAACAGTAATGGATGCCAAATTATAGGTAGCTTATTTTCTTGGAGAGGTTAATTACCTTGTGTCAGTCAGAGAACCCTTCAAGGAAGAATTTCTTAAACATAATTAAAGGTTGGCAGTTGGATATTTTAAGCTTATTTTCTTAAAAAGAGAGAGAGAAGATGACAAAGACAGGAAGGAAGGCATGAATGTAGAAAGCACTGTGTGGCCTGGAGCTAGAGCCAGTGGCAGCTGTCACAGGGCACAGGTGCACAGTGCAGGGACCAGGTGCTCAGCAGAAGCGCTTTCCACCCTTATTTATCTGAGTTCTTTGTGATTATGTGAGACATAAAAGTTTAATAACTTTTTAATATGTTGGGCTTGTAAGTTAAATTTATCAAGCATAAATTATATGAAATTATAAAAAGATTATGAAAATAATAGTGGTAGATTGTTTGAAGGTTTTGAAAGAGAAATCACTGAGTAAGGTTGCTAACTGGCTAATCACTTTCTTATCCTTGACAGTTTAATTCATATTTGGGAAAGTTTTAGGGAAATGAAAACTTAAAGTCATTGGGTCTGAACCACATTTTCAAAGAATATAAATTAGTTTTCAAACTCTTAACTTCTCACATTAAAATTTTGCTGTGAATTCTCGTTAATGAATTTTAGATTCTGTCAAGTAGAAAATTCTATCTTATGGGCCATTTTCACCATAATTAATCTCACCTTGAATTATTAGGTATCTCCTTTGATCCTGCAGAGTCTTGTGATGGCTACAATAGCGGAAAGCAGAAGAGTGGGATGTGGGATGTGAGGCCAGCCTGGCGTCAGGGCCTCGGGCACAGTTATAGATCATGGGCTGGGAGAGCGACCGGTGGGCAGGGCCTTCTGACTTCACCTTTATTTGACCAATCTTTTATGAAATTTATTTTCTTTTTGCCTTAAATTTTTTAATGAAATGCAAATTGTCTGTCTATGATGAGTCTCTTTTTTTTTATTTTTGTCATTAATAAATTTGCAAATGAATTTAAGGACAGAACAACTGTCTGGTTCAAGCTATGTGGTATTTCATTTAAAGAAGATGAGAAAAGCACATGGACTTGGAGCTTTTGAGGTCTTCAGCAAAAATGTCAATGTATCTTTTTAGAACTTTAGAAATATCCTAGTCTTTGTTTATATGAAATGTTTTTATTTTTCTGAAGGTAAATTTTTTCCACCTGATGAAGTTAGCCTTGCCCTGTTACCTCCCAGGAAAGGATAGAGAGCTAAATAACTTTTCTCTGTTTTCTCATGTGTGGAAATTAAGCTAGCTGTGTAATGTGAGAGGATAGAAAAGAGTAATCATGGAAAGTATCAGCCCCCCAAAATGTCTCCTCAGTTTAATTAATGCTGCCGAGAATCTGATCACTATTAAGGAAAAGTAAACAAATTTAGAGTTTAAAAGACAAATCTAGGCATGTTGTAAGTGAAAACAAGAAAGCTTAATAAAGGCTTTGTTTTTGTTCAGTCTATCTAGCTATTGACAAATAATCACCATTTATTTCTGTTACTGGACTGTATTTTATTTCTCAGCCTGTAAACCTAAAATCACTGTTACCTATTTCTTGTTTGGTGAGTATAATCATAGCCCTACCATCCAGAAAGCAATATGATAGGTGAATTCTCCAGTTACTTTGAAGATAATACATTATATAGACAGTTTGACTCATTTTCATCCCCTGGATAACTATTTTTTTGTATGAAATATTTTTTGGATAGCTTTTCTCTAATTTTGGAGGAAGTATAATCACAGGTATGCAATCTGGAAGAAAAACTAAAGAAATAATTCTAATTCGCAGCTTGACTTTCTCAAGAAGAAACTTTTTGTGCTCTATAGAATGAGTATATCTACTTGGAGTGTTGTAAGGATTAATACTTTACTTCTACTTATAGTAGAAAACTAGTATATCTGTACTACTGTTAAGTATAAAGGGATTGCTTCTTCTTTCTTAATCAATAGTATAGGATTCAGTCCGTATTTATACTATTTCTCCACTCTCCAGTTGTCATGAAACCACTTGTGAGATGATCAGTCAACATCACATTGATACTTTTGGTTAATTATTATACTGCTCAGGGAAAAAATGAACAAAAATAATTATTCTTCCCTCAGTTTCATTTTCTTGAAACAATAGCACTTTGATGTATCTCAGCTGTCACTCTTTTACAAGTGGCTTAGTCTTGGTTTTTAAAATAAGCATTTTTATTGGAACTCAGGGTAATTGGGGAAATTTATTTGGCTTTTAAAATGTCTAGCATGATAGAGAAGGTTTATTTGGCTTCAAAAATGTCCAGCCACCACTTAAGCTGCCACCATACTTTGTGTTAAAAAGTATTTTTGTTATTGATCCCCGCCATGTGTGACATTCCCATACAGGATTTCCAGATACCAGTTTTGAGAAGAATTTGTGGTGAAGAGAATGGTTCTAAAAAGTGAAGGTAACTTACATTGAAGCCCTAATTGTCCTGGGAGGAGACCTGGATCTTCATCTGGCTCAGTCATTAATGAGCCTTATGTCCTCTAGAGGAAAGTTCCTTAATAAGCCCAAAGGGTCAGTTCTAAAATTTATGACCAGTAATGAATGGAAGCCTCAGTAAGATCTGTAAGAGTCACGGACCAGGGCAGGTTCATAACCAGGACTGTTATCATGGTCATTTACTTTTATTACTTGGGCTCAAAGCCCTGACTTTTCTAAAGGTGTTCATAGCAACAGAGGAAGGAAAACCTTTCAGTCCATTAAATCAGAAGGCGTGGCGGCACCCCATTTCTACTGGAGATAGCCCTTAAAATGAATTTTTCATAATGACATTGTCTCTACTGAAGAAAACATATTGTACTTTTGCTTTCTCTGCTTTTTTGGTTTTTGTTTGTGCTTTGTAAAACTGAAGAAGATATATGCTAAAAAATGCTTTATACAACTTACCAACTTTACTGGACAAGGTTTACCACCATACAACTTCTCAAATATTATTTTATTCAAAGAAATTTAAAGCATATTTAATTTAATTATACTTATTTTAAACTATAGAAGAAATTACTTTAAAATTTTGCCATTAAAATAATTACAAAATTTATACTTTTATTCGAGGACTAGATTACACTTAGGACAAAAATCTTTCCTATTTAAAATTCATACCGTGTAAATTTTAATTTGTATCTTCATGAACAACTCTGGACGTTTATACTTTTTTGTTTCCTTATTATAAATTGTTCAAAACTATTAGTTAATTGGTTTTAAGAGTTCTACATTGTAAGTGAAAGAAAAAATTACTTGAGAGAATAATTGTTTCGGAATGGTGCCTGTTATTGCTGTGGCAGCGAAGGATTTGTCCAGAGTTTTAGATACAAACCAGTATTTTGTAGAGTTTTATTCAGCCACTAATAGTCCATCCTGGCTGAAATTGAATATATCAGATTTAACATAGGTGCAGAATTCTAAATAACACTGTGAAATGTAATCTTCACTGCCCTCAAGGAGCTTATAAAGCTGGTACTCTAACCCAGTATGCATTTAATGAATGGCTGATTGTTTCTACACTTATCTTAGATGCTGAAAGTTCTGCTTTACAGCCCTTCTTTTGTAAAAGTGAGTTTGTATCAATGCATGCTCCTAATGCTGAAGGAAAAGATTTGCATTTAAAAAAAGAAATTCCACTCTGAAGTTGGGTTTGGAAGATCAGAATGCAGAGGGTCTCTGCCGGGTTTTCCTGCAGCGCCAAATGGTCAGACCTGTTACTACCTGAGAGATAGTAACGCTCATCACAGAAGAAAATTTTAAATGAGATTTTCCATGTTGGTATTTTGTAGGAATGCTCTTATAGTCTATGACTAAGCTGCTCTTTGAGGCTCTTGTACAGAGGATGCAGCCAATTACATTTTAATTGGTGGGCTGTTTAATAATGTTTTTAAATAATATTTATTTTAATACATTTTTAACATTATGCAAACCCTGGTAAAGAACTGACAAGCTCTATAGGTGATTGATTGGAAAGACTTTCTGAAATGGAGCCTAAAGACACATTTATATGCTGCGCTTTTAAAACTGATTATAACTACAGTCATGCGCTGCATAATGATCAAAGCTGGACCACATATCCGATGGAGGTCCCATAAGATTAGTACCATATAGCCTAGGTGTGTAGGAGGCTGTATCATCTAAGTTTGTGTAAGTACACTCTATGATGTTCCCACAACGACGAAATTGCCTAATGATGCGTTTCTCAGAATATATGTCCATCGTTAAGCAACATGTGACTATCTTCTTTTAGTACACCTTTTATAATGCAAAAAAACAAAACAAAAAAACCCCAAAACTATATGTTCTATAAATAATAGTATAAAAATCCATGCAAAACCACTGTCTAAAGCTTGCTCAATGATGCATAGCCATCTCCTCAGTCATGTTTTATCAAATTGTTCTAGTATAAAAAGAAATGGAAATATAATGAAAAGCTGAAAGGTACAGAGCAACATAAGTAGAATGACTAACCATTTTCTTAATAATATGTTTGAAGTGGAAAAAGTGACTGGCTGCCTTTTACTGGAGTCATAAATGACTGTATCCTGCCCAGTCTCTATTTTGGGATAACTTCTTTGAGAAATTGATTTGTTAATATTCCTTTTAATCCTTTCCCACTAAAGGACAAACACATCTAAAGAGTTTGACAGACTTTTAAAATATGCCTCTTTCCAGATTTTAAGTATTTTTGGTTCTGTGTATGTGTATATGAATTTGTCAATGAAGTTCATTTGCTCTTGACTTTTTATCACAAGGAGAGAGGAATCAAACATCCAACACAAATGTGTTCCAAGCCGTCTTCTCTGTCTTCCGTCACCCATAAGCAACTGCCTCTCTGAACCAGAAGGGGTGCTGTATAAAGCAATAGGAGTGAAAGTAAAAATAGTTTAGGTGAAACAAGAGAAACTCTTCTGCATACGTACAGAGTGAAAATGTGTGGTTTCATTCCTGCCTTCCTTTGAAAGTTGTGTCTTGCTCTCTGCCCAGGAGTAGTTGAACATTGTTACCCAAACGTGAGCAGGGTCCCAACTCCAGCAGCCAGTATTTATAGTCCTCATTTGCCTTCCCTGGGTGAGAACAGAATGTGGTGTTCTGTGCTTTTTGTTTTTAT